TCTAAGCTTAAGACCTGTGATTAGTTGACTCACTCTTACCCTAAAACACTTTGGGCTCCTGTAAGTCAAGTTTATGATGGAAGCCGAACATCCTAACCCCTAGGCAGAGCTTAATGGAAGAACGGGTAACTGCTAGGCTTGTTCTTTCTTACTCTCTTTTCTCAAAAACACTTAAGAGAGTCCAAGAAGCTGTTTATAGCTAACTCATTAAAACCCTTTATTTTGTTCTTTCATGGCACTGTAAAAAGTAATGGGAGAATTTCTCTCTTCAGCTCTAGAAAAATAAAGTATTTCATTCATCATTTACCCTCCACTTGGGTCCCTCCTCAGCACCCGACTTCCCTGCAGCGTTCCTACTCATTACTGCCAGCCTAACAATGAGCAGAGCACGGGAAGCTGGCTCCTCTTCTGACCTAACTGTCATCTCTTGGGAATCTATCCTTGTAGCTTTTCCCTTTCGTTCTTCACAGATCTGAGAGTGGAAAGTAGCCAAGCAAGCAACACTCAAAATATCCAGTTGAAGATTGATGAAGGAAACATGACACCCATTAAAAATATATCTCCTACCATAAAGAGTTTACCAAGAAAAGAGATTTTTTCCAGTTGGGAGTAATTGGGAAAGGTTTGCGGCAGAGAAGACACTTAAGCAGGATGTGCAGTTGTGCTGTGGGAGTAGCAAACTCAAGGTGGAAAGAGAGACTACGCAAAATGTGGTGGGCAGAACAATGGTCTCTGAATGTGTCCACATCTTAACCCCTACATTATCTTACTGGGCAAAAGGGACTTTGCAGAGTGATTAAATTAAGGACATTGAGATATGGAGATTATCCTGGATTATCTGAATGGGCCCTAAACATGGTTACGATAGTTCTTCTAGAAGGGGGACAGGAGTGTGAGTCAGAGAAAGAGATAGGAGAACAAAGGCAGAGATCAAACTGACGCAATCGCTGGAATGTGAGCAGCCTCAAGATGCCGGAACAAACTCCCCACAGCACGTCCAGAAGAAACACCTCTGCCAACATCTTGATTTTTAGCCTACTGAGGCCTATTTTCAACTTCTGACCTCTAGAATTATAAGATAAATAAATTTGCATAGTTTTAAGCCTCCAAATGTATGTACACTGCTGTTACAGCAGCAATAGGAAACTAATACACAAAAGTAAATGGGGAAATGTGGGCTATTTGTGAAGAATATTAAATACTTCAGAATACACAGTGCATAAAGACATTCCATGGAGGAAAAGATGGGAAAAATGATCATAAACAAGAATAATGATAACATTTCGTACTCTGCTTAAAATGTTTTCATAGTCATTGTTTTAAAAATATGACTCCCCTAACAACCTTTTAATCCAGACATTATGATACTCTCCAATTTCAAGATGAAGTAGCTCTGGCTCATAGAAGCTAATTGTTTTGCCCAAGTTCACAATTCTGAAAGCAGTAGAACTGGGCAGCAGCCAAGGTCTCCCAACTCCTCACCCTCTTTCCCCTGCGCTATGTCACTCATTCATATCAGGGCAACTAATTTTAGAAGGGCCTCAGTGTCAGGCCAAAAGGTGTAAAGTTTATTCTCCAGCAATAAATTAAAGGGTTTTAAGCATGGAATGACATAATTAATTAATATAACAGCATAATATAAAGTAGATTAGAGAGGGGTAGATAAAAATCTAGAGACAGGTTAGACTAACAAAAAAGTCAAGGAAGTAGGAAAAGAAGACCTGAAGTAAAGCCAGCAGAGGGAATGAAGAGAAGTACAATGATTGATACAAGGTGACGAGGAGGTGGGGGAAGGTGGAGAGAGAAGCAAGAAATTCATCCTTCAGATTTATTACCAATGAAAAGTTATTATTTTCTAATATGTGCATACTTTTAGACAACAAACTAGTGTACACTTAAATAGGATTTATAGATCTAAATTATGATTTCCAAAATAAAAATTATTATATATATATCAGACTATTTGACATTTTACCTTTTCACTTCAGAAGATGGCAAAATTTTGCTTAAAAAATGAATCCCAATGTTGTATTCTTATAATAATCCCTGACTTCTTTTTGTCTTATTGAGGTCAACTCTCTGATCACCAGTGAAAATTGAGAATAAAAAAAGTGCCACTGTGTTATTCTCATAGTAATGGCAATATACTTTCTAAATCATCTCCTTTCTGACAGGTATTTTTTGACCCCATCCATCTCTCACTTTATTACTTGTTTTCTGTTCTTTTTGTATGCTGTTGCTAAGCTGCAAAAAATACCTTTGCATGGATATCCTTGTTATATATCTGAAACATTTGCTGCTGCATTGTGACATATTATTTATTGCTGGTATTCATCTGTCAGTTCTCATCATGCCAATTTTTCAATATTTGATTGCCTTTTATGACCTTGATTCCTAGAAGCTTTCATTAAATTTTTTCCCTTTTACTTCAAAGATTTCAGAATTGTGATACTGCCATGGTAGGTTGAATAATGGCTCATCAAAGATGTTCATATCCTAATCCTTAGAACCAGTGCATATGTTACCTTATACAGTAAAAGAAAATAAGATTGGGTAAATATAATTATGCGAAGAGTCTTGCTATGGGAGGTTATCCTGGATTATCCAGGTGATCTCAGTGTAATTACAAGTGTTCTTATAAGGGAAAGAAAGAGGAAGAAGAAAAAAGAAAGAAGATGACAACAGAAGCAGAGATTTGAGAGAAGTACGGATGTTATGTTGCTGAGTTTGAAGAGCAAGGAAGGGGCCATGAGCCAAGGAATGTAGGGAGCTTCTAATAGCTGAAATAGGCAAGGAAACAAATTTTTCCCTAGAGCTTCCAGGAAGAACACTCCAGAATGTGTCCTGTGGTTCCATTTTGGACTTCGACCTACAGAACTATAAGATAAAACTTGTTTTAAGCCACTACGTTTGCGGTACTTTATTACTGCAGCACTAGGTAACAAACATATTGGCCCAACAACAAAAAAAGAAATCGCAAATGTCTCATCTTTTTCACATTTTCAAATTGAGATAAGATACTAGAGTATCTCAATTTAAAAAGTACTCTCAAACAGTGTCTTATCATTTTAATTATTAGCCATTGCTGTCCTTCCTCTGTTAAAAAAAAATTCTAGCTAATTGTTTCATCTTGTAATGTCAGTTTTGACAAATCAAAACCATAATCTATTTCATAACCATATTAGAAATAATTTAAATCTATTCAGATCTTCATCCTGGAGTCACCAGTCCTGTGTGACTGAAAACTATTCATGCCTCCTAATCTAGAAGAGCCATTTTAAAAATTTTTGTGAGTTAAAAAAAATGTGAAATTCAAATGTTTTTTTAGTCAGGTAATTGGAAATAATTATTTTCAATAATTCAGTAATCATTATCAATAACTGTTATAATTGAAAATAATATCAAAAGCTTTAATATTATAAAAGTGATATTTTAGGTAACCCACACTGCCTTCAATATTATTCAAAATAAAATCCTATATTTTCTTGATTCCAATACAAAAGAGCAAGATCTAAAGTTTACTTAGAATCATATCTGATCCCAAATTGCTAAGAGAAATAAAGGAAAAGAATTGGAAAGCAAGCATGAGAATGATGGACAGGTAGGAGAAGAAAGATAAAGAGAGGCATGATCACATTCATAGTCTCAGAAATAATTTGATCTAAAAGTAACATACTTACTCCCATACTCAACCAAAGGGAAATACGGAGTAACATAACACAAACATTCTTATAGACACGTCTAACTCGGAAGAGTTGAGGAGTAGGGTGGGATAAATGTTAACAGTTTTCAAAAGCTAAGGAAAACATTTTAGGGAAAGACTGTTACTGTCTTTCACTTTTATCTTCACATTTTACCAACTTTATCCCCATCTATCTCCATATCTCCCCACCTCTCACAATATGGAAAAAATGAAAAAGAAAAAATTTGCATGCTTTGAGTGCTTATTAATATCAAAGAAAATGCAAGATTTTTTTTTGAGACAGAATCTCCCTCTGTAGCCCAGGATAGAGTGCAGTGGTGCATTCTTGACTTACTGCAACCTCCACCTCCCCAGTGATTCTCTTGCCTCAGCCTCCCAAGTAGCTGGGACTATAGGCATGTGTCACCACAATTGGTTAATTTTTGTATTTTTAGTAGAGATGAGGTTTCACCATATTGGCCAGGCTGGTCTCGAACTCCCAACATCAGGTGATCTACATGCCTCAGCCTCTCAAACTGTTGGGATTACAGGGATGAGCAACTGCACCTAGCCAGATGTTTTAAAGTGGTTATTGCGTTATTCTGTTTTCATATTGTTATAAAGAATTGCCCAAGACTGGGTAATTTATAAAGGAAAGCGGCTTAACTGACACAGTTCAGCATGACTTTAGAGGACTCAGGATGCTTACAACCATGGCAGAAAGCAAAGAGGAAGCAAGGCACCTTCTTCACAAGATGGTAGGAAGGAGAAGTGCCAAGTGAAGGGGAAAGATCCCCTTATGAAACCATCAGATCTCATGGGAACTCACTCACTATCATGAGAACTGCATGGTGGAAACTGCTCCCACAATTCGTTTATCTTCACCTGGTCTCTCCCATGACACATGGGAATTATGGGGATTACAATTCAAGATGAGATTTGGGTGGGGAAACAAAGCCTAACCATATTATTCTGCCCTGGCTTATCCCAAATCTTGTGTCCCTTTCACATTTTCAAGACCAATCATGCCTTCCCAACAGTTCTTCAAAGTCTTAATTCATTCCAGTATTAACCCAAAGGTCCAAGTCCAAAGTCTATCTGAGACAAGGGAAGTCTCTTCTGCCTATGAGCCTGTGAAATCAAAAGCAGGTCAGTTATTTTTAAGATTCAGTGGGGGTACATGCATTGAACAAATGCTGCTCCCATTCCAAATGAGAGAAATGGGCCAAAATGAAGGGGCTCCAGGCCCCGTTTTGGAGCTTTAAGATTTGACTGCCCCACTAGATTTCAGTGGGGCAGTCAAATCTTAAAGCTCCAAAATGACCTCCTTTGGCTCTATGTCTCACATCCAGGTCATGCTGATGCAAGAGGGTAGGCTCCCATGTACTTGGGCAGCTCCACCCCTGTGATTTTGTAGGGTATAGCACCCCTCCCAGCTGCTTTCACAGCCTGGCATTAAGTATCTGTGGCTTTTCTGGGCACATAGTACAAGCTGTCAGTGGATCTACCATTCTGAGGTCTGGAGGACAGTGGCCCTCTTCTCACAGCTCCACTAGGAAGCTCCCCAGTAGGGACTGCTTTGACCCCACATTTCCCTCCTCTACTGTCCTAGAAGAGTTTCTCCATGAGGGTTCCACCCCTGCAGCAAACTTCTGTCTGGATATCCAGGTGTTCCATATATCCTCTGAAATATAAGCAGAGGTTCCCAAACCTAAAGTATTGGCTTCTGTGCACCCACAGGCCCAATACCATGTGTAAGCTTCCAAAGCTTAGGGCTTGCATCCTTGAAGCAACAGCTTGAGCTCTATGTTGGTCCCTTTTAATCACAGCTGAGACACAGGGCACCAAGTCCCAAGAATGCACAAAGCAGCAAGGCCCTTGGCTTGGCCCATTAAAACATTTTTTTTTCTCCTAGGCCTCCAAGCCTATGATGGGAAGAGCTGCTGTTAAGACCTCTGACATATTCTGGAGACATTCTCCCCAGTGTCTTGGGAAAATTTGATTCCTCATTACTTATGCAAATTTCCAGAGCTGGCTTGAATTTCTCCTCAGAAAATAGGTTTTTCTTTTCTATTGCATTGTCAAGCAGCAAATTTTTCAAATTTTCATGCTCTGCTTCCCTTTTAAACATGTTTCAATTCCAAACCATCGCTTTGTAAGTGTATAAAACTGAATGTTTTTAAGAGCATCCAAGTCACCTCTTGAATGCTTTGCTGCTTAGAAATTTCTTCCCCCAGGTATCCTAAATCATCTCTCTCCAGTTCAAAGTTCCACAGATTTCTACGGCAGGGTGAAAATGCCACCAGTCTCTTTGCTAAAGCACAGCAAGGGTCACCTTTATTCTAGTTCCAAACAAGTTCCTCATCTCCATCTGAGAACACCTCAGACTGGATTTCATTGTTTATATCACTATTAGCATTTTGGCCAAAGTCATTCAACAAGTCTCTAGGAAGTTCCAAACTTTCCCATACCTTCCTTCTGCTTCTGTGCTCTCCAAATTGTTCCAACCTCTGCCAACAGGTTACCCAGTTCCAAAGTCACTTCCACATTTTCAGATATCTTGTTAGCTGCACCCCACTCACTTTGTACTAATTTACTCTATTAGTTCATTTTATACAGCTATAAAGAACTGCCCGAGACTGAGTAATTTACAAAGGAAAGAGATTTAGTTGAATCACAGCTCAGCACAGTTGGTGAGGCCTCAGGAAACTTACAATCATGGTGGAAAGGAAAGAGGAAGCAAGACACCTCCTTTGCAAGGCGGTGGGAAGGAGAAGTGCCAAACAAAGGGGGAAGAGCCCCTTATAAAAGCATCAGATCCCATTAGAACTCACTCACTATCATGAGAACAGCATGGGGAACTGCCCCCATGATTCAATGACCTCCACCTGCTCTCTCCATTGACATATGGGAATTACGGGGATTATAGAGATTATAATTCAAAATGAGATTTGGGTGGGGACACAAAGCCTAACCATATCAGTCATTATATTTTTTTCTTTATAGAAGACTAATATTTCTGTATCTTTAATATGGGCCAAGCACTGTGCCTCACAGTTTACATAATTTATCTCATGCTTACCACTACTCTCAGAGGTAGACAGTATTGATATTCCCATTTTGCAAATGAGAAAAACTCTGAACCTTCAAAAAGTTATTTCCTCCAAGTCAAACAGCTGGGAAACTGCAAAGTTGGGATCTCTAGGGCAGGGGCAAAATGCCACCGAGTAGTGCCAACTCAAACTTAGATCTGTCTGTCTGATGTCATCAGAGCCTGAGTTCTTTTTTTCTTTCTTTCTTTATAAATAAAAAAAACTTGAGTCAAAAGAATTTACATTTTTGTCCCCAAGTCAAAATTGCCTAATTCTGACTTTGGAATATCAGTTACATACTGAAGCAGTTATATCCTGGAAAGCAGAGAGACAGTTGAGTTTTTCAGTAGCTTTGTAAATTGTGATTTTTACATAGCCACCAAAATTGGTCTTGACAACTATCTCTTAGTAAGAGGAGGCTCACTCAGCACCCACAAATTAATGTTAGGTAAATCTCAACATTCAGATCTACAAAGTACTGGTTCACCCAAAGGCAGAAGCAGGGTTTGAAACAATGGAGTCAATGCCCAAATTTGGAATAATTAAATCTGTCATGCACAACTGTGCTTTTAATTTTCAAACATGCTTTTCAAGGACATTTGTTACATAATTCCAAAAGTTAATTTCTCTTAAGTTTATCTGATTGGTGAGAGTTATAGTAGGCAGGAAGCTACAGACAGAACCTCATATAAACCTTCTCTACCCAGAGTCTCAACATGGTGGATCTGTGTTTCCCGTGGTGCTCCTCTGCACACCATAGCTACATGCAACCCATATGGTTCACAGATAAAACACAATACACACTGCTTCTTTCCAGATCCATTTGCTTCAGCAACCAAGCCCCCAATAACAAAATCGAGGGTTCTTTTGCACTTCTTTCTTTTGGCTCAGGCATATGTTCATGCGCAAAATACACAAAAGCCTATTATGTTTTTGATTAAAGCTTCTAATTTGGGCAATACAAGAGCTAAACTTGGATACTGCAGAACACATCCATTTTGTCCCTACCAATCTTTTAAAATGTGTGTTAATTTATCCAGAGCTTGTGCCACAGTAAAAATAACTTCACATCTACCTGTAATACCTCACAACTTGAGGAATATGACAACAAAAAAGTTCATGAGAGTCACATGTGTTCTGGGGAGAATACAAAAGAAGCTACTAATTAGGAAAAACAAAACCACCATCGATGGAGCAGCTGCAGTAATTTGCTGTGCCTTTCTAACATTATGGGAAACTGAATACATTATCACAATCACTTTTCACAGAGTAGAGAGGCTTCATTAGCTTATTCTTTTCCCCACAAATTCATCCACATTAGACTAGAGAAGAGTTCTCAAATCTAAGGTTGAAATGCTGAATTTCAGAAATGATGTTTGAAAAGTATCCTTTAATGGATTTTGAAAACAACCTTTTTGAATAATTTTCAATTAGAGTCACAGAGTGTTCAATTGCAATGTTCCCTTTCTCTTTATGAGAATTCAGGAAAGCTGCTATTTTACTTGCTGAAATGTGGTAGAAATGTAGTGCTGGTTAGCAATAAATAGAACAAGAAAATGGAGAGGTGAGAACAGAGGAGAGAAGCAAAGTTGCCAGCCAAACAGAAATCCTGAATTTATGATACAGGTCTGAGACAAGTGAAGAAACCTAGCCAAAATTCAGCAGGACCTAGAACTGCATTCCCTTGGGATGTGGGCAGTGGGAGGGTTGCAGAGCTGAGGGTACCAGATTCAGAAACCCTGCTTTGGAATGAGAAGGTAGACGGATTGAAGCCAAAAATGGACAGCTCTGTGTTCAAAGGACAAATCTGGACAAGTCCCACCCAAAGTTGGTCATACAGAACTCCTCGCTTCAGACATAACAAAATGAGTGACTTATAAACATGGATTTTATTTCTGGCTTTAAAAGAAGTCCAGAGAGGAAGCAGGACTTCATCCATTCCATCACACAGAGAACTGTACTCTCTGGGTGCCTGCTATTTTTCCTGTGTAAAAGAGATACTTGTTAAGTTACAGAGTACTGCACACATAATTTTAAATAGCAATATATTATTTAAGACTAAAATCAAGCTTGGGATTGAGTTTCACCATTTCCTCTCCTCCCTTGACTGGGAAACCTTGCGAGAAGCAGCCCTGGCCAGCCAGTCTTGGACAGTTGGCATGGAGAAAGAGGATCATGCCTTTCAACAATCGCTTTCAACAAATAGTAACTGAGCATCTGCTGTGTTCCTACCCAAAGGGAATGAGGTTGAAAGCTGTATATGGAATGTGGTGCACAAAGCTGATTTCCAAGACTGAACCAGATAAGCTTATCCAAAATAGGTAGTCAAACAAGGGCATCTTGAGAATATTGAGGGCTGAGATGTAAAGGAATAAAAGCTAATCTAAACGAATTTAGTAGACAGTTGTTAAAACCTATTGAAAGGCAATTACCTGGTCCTGGCACAATCTCATGGATGTATCAGAACCATTTGAAGAAGCTAGAATGTGGTAATAAATCACACTATTTTAAAAAAGCAATAGGCTCAAATTAGCAGCTTATGATATAGAGTAATCATTTGAAAGTAATCATTTAAGCCTATGTACTGCACACCCACCTTCCTGTGTTCCCTTTGAAAGGATCAAAGAAACATAAATATTAGGAAAACATCTGTACCAATGATAGGAATTATGAACAGTGTCAGGAAACAAACTTTTTTTGCTGTAAGCCACTGAAATGTGGGGGCTTTGTTCCAGCAGCATATTGACATGCTATTTTTCTAATTATAAAATGAATACAATAAAGCAACTTATACAAATATATGGAAATAGTTTGGCAGTTTATTTTCCTAATTAATCACAGTGGTTAGCTTTACAGAAGTAAAGAGAATAGTGCTAAGGATGGTGGGTTAAAGGGACTATTTCTTTTTCTTAAAAAAGGACTTGAAACAAATATAACAACATGATAATTGCTAATATAGGTTGTGAGTACATGCGTATTTGTTATATTCTCTATTGTGTACTATATTTTTAACATCTTAAAATTAAAAAGAAACACAATTATAAACATTCACTGATAATGAGGGAATGTATCAAAGCATGGAGAAAATTAAAATAAAACCATCTATAACCCCACCAGTAGGAGATGCAATTCTACTAACACTGAATATGGATATTCAGTGAATATATATACATATACATACATACATACACTATTTTTGCTAAAAACATTATAAAGACTTAGACTTATTGTACAGTCTATGTCCAGATTTCACATAACAATTAAAATTTTTCTTATATTAAATATTATTTATAACACCATTATTTTCTCAAGAAAAAAAATTTTTTTTTTTTTTTGAGATGGTGTCTCACTCTGTCACCCAGGCTGGAGTCCAGTGGTGCAATCTCGGCTCACTGCAACCTCTGCCTCCCAAGTTCAAGTGATTCTCCTGCCTCAGCCTCCCGAGTAGCTGGGACTACAGGCACCCACCACCATGCCCGGCTAATTTTTGTATTGTTAGTAGAGACTGGGTTTCATCATCTGCCCACCTCAGCCTCCCAAAGTGCTGGACTACAGGCATGAGCCACCATGCCTGACAAAGAAAAATCTTATAAAACAGAAAGTCAGAGTTTCTATTTCCCTCCATCACGTTATCATTTATCTATTATTACTCAGTCTGATGAGTGAAGAACATCACCTTCTTTATTTTGCTATTTGTTGATTACCTGTTGGATTGTACATTTTTTCATGTATATTTTACATTGCAATATACTTCTATACCCTTATAGCAGCCATCTGCCCTATTTGCCTGCCTGTATCTCCCTTTTAAAGGAGGAACTGCCCCTCTCCTTTCCTACGTGGTTCTGATGGGATTGGCACTCAAGTTGTCTTCCCACTCCAGTTTCAGCAATGAGTAGCCCTAGTGAACCCAATCAGAGAATTCCCCTGGGATTTAACTTTTGGATTCTGGGAAACGGCATGGGGCAGGGCATGGCCTTTAACTTCCCCAGAATTCATGAGGGGTAAAATGATGAGAGCCACAACTGTTTATCATCATCTTTTCGAGCTGCATAGAGAAATCCAGCTGCATTAAGAGCCAGTAAAGCCCAAACACAAAAGGAAGAAGAATGAAGAGATGGAGAGACCAAATAAAAGCGAGCCTTTAAATCCTTTCATATAAGCACACCTTTAGCCAATCTACTCATGAAATTCTCAGTACTTTCTTTGATATGGATACAGATTAGACATGCTAGAGATAGAGGGAGACACAGAAATGGAGGTAGTTGTTTTTCTCATGTAGTCTAGTTTGTGTGAACTTTCTTCCCATCAGGATTTTGTTACAAGAAAGGTGAAGTCAGGCAAAGCAGGTGAGTCTGCACAGAACCACAAATATTTAGGGGATTGCATTTATTACAACAATCTGAAGGAGTTGCTATAGGTGTAAAATATATAAAGTTGCTGAGCACAAATTCAAACCAAATTTTTTTTTCTTTTTTGGAGACAGATTCTTGCTCTGCCACCCAGGCTGGAGTGCAGTGGTGTGATCTCAGCTCACCGCAACTTCTGCCTCCTGAGCTCAAGCGATTCACCTGCCTCAGCCTTCCAAGGAGCTGGGATTACAGGCATGCGCCACCACACCAGACTAGTTTTTTATCTTTTATTTTTTTAAGTAGAGACAGGGTTTCACCATGTTGTCCAGGCCAGTCTAGAATTCCTGACTTCAGGTGACCCTCCCGCCGCTGACTCCCAAAATGCTGGGATTACAGGCAACTGTAATTTTTTTTTTTTTTTGAGTGCTTTCACTGTTTATTTTCAAATATAAAGGCTTCATCGCAGAAGGAGGCCAGGGTCACAGGCAATGGGCAAGGGGTCCAGAAGCCCAGGTGTAGGTGGACGTTCGGGCTAGGTGGCTCCCAGGTGCCATGGCCAGTCCTGTGGTGCCCTGTCTGCGCCTGGGATCCTCTTCTGGGTGCCAAGAGGCTGAGGTAGCTGAGAGAGGAGCTGGACGTGGGGTGGAGGGGCACGGGCTCACATGACCGCACAACACTGGCAGGTCTTTTGCTTAGGGCCACTGGCCTCTTCACCCTCAGTGGGGACAGATGCCTCAGGCTGCCCGGCAAGCGCATAGGTGGGCACAGGGCGGGCACTGGGATTGGTGCTGGGCCCCTCCCACCAAAGCAGTGGCTGGCATTCAGCATGCTGCTCTGGGGATGGGGTCTCAGCCAGAAGGGGTGTGGCATCCCCCAAGGGGACGTGGCCCTCAGCAGCGGTTTGGGGCTTCGCTCCTTCCTCCTCCAGGGCCCCTACCAGCTTCTCCTGAGGCTGGGGTCCTTCCTCCTCTGGCCGTGTCTCTGTGTTAGCCTCAAGGGGAGTCCCTGCCTCACTCGCCTCCTCTGCCCATGATTCACTTCCTTCCCTGGACTCCTGTCGTTCTAGACTCAGACCTTCCTTGGCCCCTTGGGTCGTCTCTGCCTCCAATGGTTCCCCTCCTCCCCTTCTCTCTGCCTCCAATGGTTCCTCTCCTCTCCTCCCTTTCTCTCTGCCTCCAGTGGTTCCGCTCCTCTCCTCCCCTTCTCTCTGCCTCCAATGGTTCCTCTCCTCCCCTTCTCTCTGCCTCCAGTGGTTCCTCTCCTCCCTTTCTCTCTGCCTCCAATGGTTCCTCTCCTCCCCTTCTCTCTGCCTCCAATAGTTCCTCTCCTCCCCTTACCCTTCTCTCTGCCTCCAATGGTTCCTCTCCTCCCCTTCTCTCTGCCTCCAGTGGTTCCTCTCCTCCCCTTCTCTCTGCCTCCAGTGGTTCCTCTCCTCCCCTTCTCTCTGCCTCCAGTGGTTCCTCCTCTCCCTTTCTCTCTGCCTGCAATGGTTCTTCACTTGCCTCTAGCTTTTCCTCACCTCCTTTCTTCTCTATTCCCTGTGGTTCTTCTGCCCCCTCCTTCTCTGCCCCTCACTCTTCCTCATCTCCTTCCTTCTCTGCCCTCCAATCTCCCTCAACTTCTTTTCTCTCTACCCCCAGTTGTTCCTCCACTCCTTCCCTCTCTGTCCCCAGCTTTTCTGCACCTCCTCTGCTCTTCAGCTCCAACTTCCACTCCTCTCCTTTCTTCTCTACCACCGGCAACATCTCTACTCCCTCCCTCTCTGTCTCTGGCTTTTCCTCACTTTCTATGCCCATGGATTCTTCTGCTTTCCTCTTCTCTGCCTCCCAGAACTCCTCGCCTCCTCCTGTCACAACCCCCTGAGCCCCCAACGGACTCTCATCACTTCCCTCCCTCCCTCCCTGCCACCACGGGCCCTTCCAACCCTTCCCCCAGCAGCTCCTCCCACTCCTCACTGAGAGTCACTCTCTCCACCCAAATGAAGGACCCCTCCTCTCCTCCGAAGCCCCCCTGCCCATCACCCTCAGGGCTGCCCCTGGGAACATCTTCCCCTTCTCTGGAAGCTGCTGCCTTTAATCTCTCCTGAAGCCTCTATAGGAGATGTGCTCAATTCGTGACTGAGCAGTGCTAGCATCTCCTTCAGGAGACTGTTGCTGTCAGCCAGCCACCTTCTCCACGGCAACCATGTGCGACCGGAAGGCCGTGATCAAAAATGCAGACGTGTCAGAAGAGTTGCAACAGGACTCGGTGGAGTGTGCTACTCAGGCACTGGAGAAATACAACATAGAGAAGGACATTGCAGCTCATATCAAGAAGGAATTTGATAAGAAGTACAATCCTACCTGGCATTGCATCGTGGGGAGGAACTTCGGTAGTTACTTGACACATGAAACCAAACACTTCATCTACTTCTACCCGGGCCAAGTGGCCATTCTTCTGTTCAAATCTGGTTAAAAGCATGGACCAAAAAGGCCGGGCGTGGTGGCTCATGCCTGTAATCTCAACACTTTGGGAGGCCAAGGCGGGCAGATCACCTGAGGTCAGGAGTTCAAGACCAGCCTGGCCAACATGGTGAAACTCCATCTCTACTAAAAATACAAAAATTAGCCAGGCGTGGTGGTACACACCTGTAATCCCAGCTACTCGGGAGGCTGAGGCAGGAGAATCACTTGAACCTGGAAGGTGGAGGTTGCATTGATTTGAGATCAGGCCATTGTACTCCAACCTCAGCAACAGAGTGAGATTCCATCTCATTAACAAAAAAAAACATGGACTGTTGTGCCACACACCCAGTGACCCATCCAAAAACAAGGACCGCAGCCTAAATTCCAAATACCAGAGACTGAAATTTTCAGCCTTGCTAAGGGAACACCTTGATGTTTGAAGCTTTGTGTTTTGTACAGGGCATTCTCTGTACTAGTTTGTTGCGGCTATAAAACAATTAGCAAAATAGCCTACATTTGTATTTACTTTCTATTCCATATTTCTGTGCCACGTTGTTTTCTCTAAAAATCCATTCCTTTAAAAAATAAATGTTGCAGATATGTAAAAAAAAAAAAAAAAAAGTTCGGGGCGCTCCCTTAGCTTCTCGAATAGCTGCGCCATGTGTGCTGCTCAGCTAGCGGCGGGGATGGCCGCCTTCTGGGCTCGCCCGCTGGCCGGCGGGGAGCCTGTGGGCCTGGGTTCCCTGCGGGGCAAGGTTCTGCTTATCGAGAATGTGGCATCCCTCTGAGGCACCACGGTCTGGGACTACACCCAGATGAACGAGCTGCAGCGGCGCCTCGGGCCCCAGGGCCTGGTGGTGGTCGGCTTCCAGTGCAACCAGTTTGGACATCAGGAAAACACCAAGAATGAAGAGATTTTTAATTCCCTCAAGTACGTCCGACCTGGTGGTGGGTTCGAGCCCAACTTCATGCTCTTCGAGAAGTGCAAGGTGAACGGTGCAGGGTCGCACCCTCTCTTCGCCTTCCTGCGGGAGGCCCTGCCAGCGCCCAGCGACGATGCCACTCCTCTCATGACCTACCCCAAGCTCATCACCTGGTCTCCGGTATGCCGAAACGATGTTTCATGGAACTTTGAGAAGTTCCTGGTGGTCCCTGATGGTGTTCCTGTGCGCAGGTACAGCCCCCACTGACATCGAGCCTGACATCGAAGCCCTGCTGTACCACGGGCCCAGCTGTGCCTAGGGCGCCCGTCCTACCCTGGTTGCCTGGCAGCTGCAGCGCTACTCTCTGCGGGATTTTCATCTATGAGGGTGTTTCCTCTAAACCTACAAGGAGAAACACCTAATTTTCCAGAAAATACCCGCTAGAGAATGGGCGCTGGTCCTGTCCAACCCAGTCTTTCTGACAGACCAAGGCGAGTTTCCCCACTAATAAAGTGCCAGGTGTAAGCAGAAAAAAAAAATTACTGAGCAACTGTGCCCAGCCTCAAACCAATCTCTTTTCTCCGCAATCCAAGACAATTTTCTTATTATAACATGCTTTGTCCTGCATGCAGTGTCTTCCAAAACCCTTTCCAGATTTTTTCCCCAAAGTCTAACAGCTGCCTCTGGTTATTATTCACTTCATTAACATCGTCTTTTTAAATTCTATTGGCACTGCATGAGGAATGGGGCTCTTTCAGCAATGTCTTATAGAGCTGTGCATTTTACATTCCTCAGATCAACCTACTTGAATGATGCCCTCAAGAAGTTCAGTCACAGCATCCCTGACCCCATTCATGAGACAACTAAAAGGTAGTTGGACACTGCTCAGTCCCAGCTATGCCCCCTGCTTCATTTGTGCAAATGCAAACTCTGTTCCTGGCTCAGTGCCACAAACAATGTTTTGTGGCCACAAGAAAGTAGATGTTCTGTGTCTTTTTGTGACTGTCCTATCTTGCCACTTTGTCTGGCCGAACCCTACATGTTTTCATAAAATTAGAGACTTAACACATTCCTTTTTCTTTTTTAATAAAATTGAATGCATTTAAGAAGTTCGGACTACACAGCATCTCTTATCTTCTTACCTATTTTCTATTATATTTGCTTTTTTCAATACACTTTTGTTTGCCTTCTATTTTATTTTGTAACACGCAAAAGTTTTAATTTATATGTTGCCAATGTACTTTTCTTTTATTGCTTCTCCTTGAGTTGCTACACCTAGAGAAAGCTTTCTTAACCTATAATCTCATAAATATTTACCTGTGTTCTCTTCTAGTACCTTTTAATGAACACCTTTTTCATTTTAATGCATCTAGAATGTAGTTTTTAAAAATCATACATGGATGTAATATTTCCAAAGACCTAGTAATGGCTGAAGAGGTTAATGTGTTGTTGTATGTAGGTAAAGGAGCCTCTAGATTGATTTTGTATTAACTGGCTCACATCCTCAATATTGGCTTCCATACAGCCCTTGACATTCTGCTTAGACTTTTATAGCCCAAGATAAAGGACCCAGTTCAGCAGCCTGATTCACTGAATTTTAGTTTGGTTCTGTATCCACACTTCACTGCATTCAGACATTTTTTCTATTTTTACATGAGCTAAGTGCTCACCTGTCTAAGCTAGGAAGGCAGCTTCATCATTGATGTCACTTAGGCATTAATTATTTTCCATAGATTTTGACTATGCTATTGCAGCACTTAGAGAGTGCTGCTTCTAATTGTAGAATGTTTTGTTACTCTCAATATGGCTATTGAATTCCTTGATTAATTTTATTCTCAGATGTGCAGAAAAGGGAAAATATACTGCCCAGACATATAAGCCCAGCTGTGGCACTGAATGTTTGCATGTGTGTGTATACACATGCATACTTGAAAGTTATAATTTTAATTAGATTTGTTTTATTTTAATTAATTTAATTTTAAACTTCTAAATACAAGCATGCTTATTTCTGGTGTCATAAACTTTACTCCCACAAATGTGGTTTAGGTGATGCATGCTTTGTCAATCAACACATCCTCCTGCTCTGGGCTACAAAATGAGGGGAGCTACATGAAGGAAACTGATAACCCCTGTACTTAAACACTAACAGTAGAATGGAACTATCAACACCAAGAAAGAAACAAGCATAAAAAAAGACAAATCTCAGTAACAGAAATCTCAAAAAATATCTAAAAATGTCAGCTACAAATTAAGAAGACATGGACATCAGAATTATTTTGACAGTTAATTTCAAATCTAAACATCTAAGAATTGAGAACCCATGACCTCACTAGAACTTGAAACATTAGTGTCTATGTTTGGGTGATAATCATCACCTGTTCTCTTGATGATCTGGAGGAACAGACTATCTTGTTTGCTTAAGTATTTGTATTAATATCAAATGAGGTACAACTTCTCAAAACTGGATATATGTATGTTCCTTCTTCCTTCTTCTAGTTCATCTCTTTTGCCATTGGCATGTATTAATTTACTTTTAAACATTGTCTTTTTATCAAATGTAAAATTAATTTATAATATCTACAATGACATAAGTTCTATGTTAAGCACTGAAAATAAAGAGATGAATAATTCAGTCCCTTCCCTTACAGAGTTCATAACTTGATGGAAGGAGACACATAAGTATGAAAAAATGCTACCAGTCCAAGGAAAGATTTTTTAAAAAGACAAAAGAGGCCTCTGAATGAGGTGCTACTCACACTAAAATATAAAAGATGAATAAGAATCTGGAATCTGGATTATGATTATTGTGGGGAGGTGTATGTGGTTTGAGGAAAAAGGCTTTAGTCCTGGTGTACCATCAGTGAGAGAAGCACTATCAAAATACATAATGATACATTATGTTTTCATAGCTCTTTGCAGGCTTACAAAGCCTTTTCTTATTAGCCACAGCAACTAATAAAAATAGAAATGAGGTAACAAAGTATCAATCTCCAAATTCAAAACCAGCTACCAGTTTCAGCCACTCTAGCAGGGTTCTTAGAAATACAGATCATATGTACCTGGCAAATACATGGTATTTACTAAAAGCTAGGTCTATGGCTTAGATCAATGAGTATTTTTCTACCTGAGGGAATTAGACAGAGCTACAAAAATACCTTTGACATAGACCACTGGTTTTCATGCTGTGTGCACTAGGGCTTCAGTGTTCTCAAGAAGAACCATAGCATGGGACAATGAGCAAGCAGATGTTCCAGCACTCATCTCATGGTTGAATAAATGACTTATATGTTGGTTTATATATTGGACTTCTAAGATTTCACTTGTAAAAATTCTGCTTCCTGGATAAAACAAAAAAGAGAGAATGTAAAACCTACATATTGTCCCACTGCCCTATACATTGACTGCTTCCATTTTTGGAGAGGGTATCAGAATATTCTATATCTCTAATAAAACTTAGAAAAATATCTAGAAATAAGAGAAAAGCATGTAGTCACATATAAGGGAAACCCATCAGAAGAGTAATAGATTTCTCAGCAGAAATCTTACAAGTCAGAAGAGAATGAGATGATATATTCAGAGTGCTGAAAAAAATTATCTAATACTATACCCAGCAAACTTAGCTTTCATAATTATAGAAATAAAGACTTTCCCCAGACAAACTAAAACAGGAGATTCATCACCACTCACCAGCTTTACAAGACATGCTCTAAAGAGACCTATACCTAAAAGCAAAAGGACAATATCTACAATGATGAAAAAAACATGAAAATATAAAACTCCCTGGTGGAGCTAACAACACAAATAAGTAAGAAAAAGGAGTCAAATGGTAACACCAAACCATAAAGGCAAACAATGAGAAAGAGAGATACAGGAGCAAAGGATCTACAAAATAACCAAGAAACAATAAACAAGATGATAGAATAAGTCCTCACATATCATTAGTAACCTTGAATGTAAATGAATTAAATTTCTACTGGTTAAATAGATTTTAAAAAGCATAACCCAACCAAATTCTACCTATAAGAAATTCACTTAATCTGCAAAGACATAATAAACTAAAAGTAAAGAGAGAGAGAGAGAAAAAAAGTTATTTCATGCAAACAAAAACCAAAAGCAACCAAGAATAGCTATACTTACATCACATAAGATAGACT